AGTTCTACATACTTGAGCTCAGTCCCTTTTTCGCTTTACGTTATGGTCGTATTATCTCGCGTAAAACCTTAGAATAATGCCTTATGTTGCTACTTTGGAGTACAAAATGTTAGTCGCACTTATGTTATCCATGGTGGTGTTTTATGTCATCGTTAAGACTCCTAATTTATTTAATTTTAATTAATTTTCATTTTTCTTTTTATGTGAACGCACCTGTGCGTACTAACCAGCTAGCCTTTGTTTTTTAGGCTTTGTAAGCGTTGTTCTTTTTGTTGTAGTGACGTCATAGATAACACTTATTTTTATATTAACTCCTAGCTTTCAATTGTCTTCTAACTCTTTCTCTAGCTAGTCTTTCTATACAGTTTTGTAAGAAAAAGTGATTGTTATCGAAGCAACGGAGTTTTACCAGCGTTAATATTGCCAATGGTGGGCAGCCGCACCGGCGCGTCTGAGCGATGCGCCAGCGCCACTTGGACTCGCTTCCTCTCTGCCGCAACTTCCAAGTCCTCCATCTCACCCGACCTGGTCTCCGATATGGACTCGGATCGAAACCTGTTTCACGACATGGTCAGCGTTACAGAGATTATTCAATGAACTATCCAGAATTGTTGAATGATTTCTTTGACATGGTGTAGCACATCGCAGGGAAGGGTATTAATTAGAGAAGTTTTAAAATAAAGCTAATTTCAAAATCATTTAGTTTTTTTTAAATGAATCCAGAAGATCTAGAAATTTTTAATACCTTAATCAATCAATAATAAAAAAAAATTAAAATGTTTTAAAAACATTTGTGTTTAATTATGATTTATTTACAATGGCAAAACATTACAGAATGCAACAAAATTTATTTCGTGCTGTCATTACCACGGACACGGCCAAAGAAGTTATTTTTTGTTAGTATTTCATGTAACTAAATAACAAAAAATAAAAAAATCATATTTCTGTTACCGTGACACTCAGGACATGGGGTCTGCGGGCAAAAGCTAGCAGGGGAGTCATTAGACCCCTAATAATTGTGTCTGTCCACATCAGGAAAAACAGATGAAGAGGTAAAGTACGTACCGAACCAATATACCTTCGAAGAGGTTATATTCTATAGCGAGGTTCAGCAGCAAGAGAGCGGTGCCCACCAAAATCAAAGCCAAGTAGTGGTATGCGATGAGGCTCGTTGTCAAAGGGTCTTTGTAGGTGTCCATACCGAATCTTTCCAGCACCTTCAAACATATAAGATCATTAATACAAAGATCGAATACTCATAAAAAATTCGATCCACCCGGATTCGAACCGACGTCTTCTAGCATACCGTGCCAGACGCCATACCAGCGGACCTTACGAATACGCCGTATCTTTGTATTTGGTTTTTTCAACGATTTTGTAGTCGTAGCGCCATCTATGAGAAATCTATGAAAGATATATCATCCAGGTAGATAATCCGGCCGGATCAAAGAATTTCTGAGTGTTCGATCTTTGTATTAACTGCATTAATTATTTGTTTGCTTTGTATTAATTATTTAACTGCCTCCGTGGCCGAATGGTTACCATACCGGACTGCTATTCAGAGGTCCCAGGTTCGATTCCCGGGCCGGGAGAAGTATTTGTATGGCCTACATTTATTTCTCTCGTGAGTTTGGGTGTAACTTTTGGTTGTTTATGTGTGTGTCCATGGCAGCCGCGACACAGGGTTTCCCTAGTGCGGGGCTGTGTTGAGTGTGTGCGTTATTTATTTATTTATTATTTATTTATTTCTGCCGTCAAGCAGTTATGTGAGCATTACCGTCAACTTATGTTTCAGGGTGACGGGCGCAGTGGCAGTGCCCTAAATCTTTACAATTTAAAGCTCTAGGTGGTACTGCAACTGATATACGGATAAGAGTGTCGCTTGCCTGCAGGCGTCACTTGGTATGATTGAACAAACAAGGGTGAGCAAGCCTCGTCGTGGTTCAAATCACAGCTTGTTACTTTTTTGGAGTTTATGCGCGAAATTTAATAAGAAATTTATTAGGTAAAGGAAAATATCCCGAGGAAACCTGTACAACATATCTGCAAACAATTTATTGTGTGGGAAATTGGGCCCGCGTGGGAACTACAACCCAATCGCGCTCATTGTGAGAGACCTGTGCCCCAGCAGTGGGTCTAATATTACATAGGCTAACTATTGGATTTGAAATATTTTTCTCGGATCTATATAATGGTATGTAAATGCAACACCAGCCAAAAGGACCTAGGCTTTTTATCAAGGGCTAAAAGTGTAGAATATGGTGGCAATGCCCGTCAAATCTTTGCGATTTAGAGCTCTGAGTGGCACTGTCATGGGTAGGCATATCGCTTACCACCAGGCGCGCGACTTGCTCATTTGATATCATAAAAAAACATGGTGATGAAAACTGTATAACCAAGAAGGTTCACAACTCCTGACAAAACGAATCAAGTCACCAGCCCGCATTGAGGACTTATTCACTACTCTTACTTCACATTTTCAAGGATCTCTTCGTTTACTAACAAAGCAAACTTGCAAACAATATACACTGCCTTCAAATCGTACCAGGCGTTAGTCTGTTAAGTTCGAAATGTAGACATAAAATTGTACCTGCGCTTGTATGGTGTTCTTGGCGATCTCTAGCATTCCGTCAGCGAGCACAAACTGCGGGCATACCAAGAAGATCTTGTGCAGTGTCCACCGAGCGTTGTCTGTCGCCTGCAAAAAAGAATAATTTATAGTATTATAAATGTTATATAAATAATTACAGATATTTTATATATATAGTCGTGGGTTCAAGTCCCAAAGGGTCTAAGTGTCCCATCTTTGCAATAATAACCATAATAAAAAACTAGTGAAGTTTTATTGATGAAGTGACTATTATACGATTCTGCGTATTGCTTTTTGTCTATGGGTTATTGAAAAATGAAATGCTCACGTCAGACTCCGATATGACGTCAAGGATGAGCAGCAACGTGATGCCGGCCAGACCTAGGAAGGTGTTCCCGCAGAACAGAATCATGTTGGCCATACTTGCTTCGGTGAACAGCTTTTCAAGGACGTGGATGAGGGTGCCGCACGCGTACCTAAAACCGGATTTTTCTCTTTATAGTAAATTTATAAAGCTCCGCGTAACAGGTTAGGGTCTATAGGGTCATGTGTACTTATTTTAATTTTAATTACATTTGTGAATATAAAATTATATTAAATATTGTTAGCTCGTGTACAGATCATGTGGTAATAAAATTTTATAATAAAATGCTTGAAAAGGAAGGAATGTTTGCAAAGATGTTGGAAAGATTTTTTTTGTATTAAGTAGGCAACAAAAAAGCATACGGCCCGCCTATGAACGTCTGCAAAACCAGACGACCTGCGACCCGAGCGCGTTGCCTACTCTTTAGGATCCTTCTAAAAACCCCCTTTGAAGGACTCTGTGCTATATTCCTGCAGAATCACCCCGACAGGGAGTTCATTTCACAACCTAATTGTACGTTGGAGGAAGGTACTCTGAAACCGTACAGTACGAGATCGACTCGGTTGCAGAGTGTGAGGATGGACTTCCTGCCGGTGGCGAGCGGTGCGATGGTAAAATGTTGCTGTTCATCATGTCAAACAGTTCTTCAGAACATTGGCCATTGTACAAGCCAACATACTTTGCCAAATTGGTTTTTTAATCAGAATTACGGTGACACGCGCGCGCGCGCGCGCGCGCACACACACGCACACACACACACACACACACACACACACACACACACACACACACACACACACACACACACACATACACACACACACATACACGTACTTGTTTCTTTTTGTATTTTACCCAATAATCTTGTTTTATATTACCTAAAACCATGTTCCTTTTTAGAACCAATGCTCAATTATTATTTGTGTAATTTTTACTAAAAAACCTCAACTATTGTGGCCGAAAACTGATTTCCAAGATACAGGCCTGCGCCTAGTTTGGATAATCAGAGTTCAACAAACAATTTGTACAACTATTACTTAATTAGGTTTAAGTGCAATTTTAGTGGTACCTTGTCTTTCATCTCTGTACAAATCTTTTTTTGAGAATAAAATTATTATTATTATTAGAACAGAGGTATAGGGAGGCAAAGTCTCTCCTCGCTGACAGTGGTTCAATATCGTCTGTAAGCACCGGATCGTCAACAAATGTCATGACACGTGTTCGAACCTTTTTGATACTTAAAATAAATAATGTACTTATATCCACTTGCACTAACCTTAAGTTCGTGTTAAACCAATGTTTGCAATGCAAAAGACACTCTGAATACACTGTGTTAAGAGTGTATTATCAATTTAAAGTATGTAATAACTTGACCTTTTCTGTACCACATAATAAACTGCTTCCGTGGCCGAACGGTTACCATGCCGGACTGCCACGCAGAGGTCCTAGGTTCGATTCCCGGGCCGGGAGAAATATTTGTATGGCCTACATTTATTTCTCTCGTGAGTTTGGGTGTAATTTGTGTTTGTCTATGTATGTGTCCATGGCACCCGCGACACAGGGTTTCCCTACTGCGGGGCTATGATGAGTGTGTGCGTTATTATTACTATTATTATTATTAT